CTATGAGTCGGAATCAACTTGAAGGCAATGGGCAATACTTGAATCAACATGCAAAAAGGTGGACTAACTCAAAGGCTGATTTCAGACTCCTGCACTCACCAGTTCTGAAACCTCAATTAGTTACCTGACCCCTCTGTGTTTTGGTTCTCCATTTGTAAAATGGAAAAATCAACAATACCAGCCTCACAGATTATGATGCAGGTTAAATGAAGTAATACATACACAGCACTCAGAAATTGTAAGGAACATCATCTATATGAAACCAAAAGGTCAACAATAACTTAGAAAAAAAAAATGAGAAAGAGGCAGGGAAACTAGGTTACTGGAAATGAACAACCAGAACTTAAATTATGAGAACATTGACACATCGTGAAGAATATAACTGATGTCACTGAACAATTTGTGTGAAATTGTTGAATGGGAACTTAATCTGCTGGGTAAACTTTCACCAAAAACACAATTAAGATATTATCTTTTAAAAAAAAATTTAAGGTACGATATTAGTGCTTAATAAAAGTTCATTAGGATGATACTCCCCCACGTGTCTGTCAGTTTGTGGTAGTGTGGAGGCTTGCGTGTTGCTGTGATACTGGAAGCTATGCCACCGGTATTCACATGCCTGCAGGGTCACCCATGGTGGACAGGTTTCAGTTAAGCTTCCAGACTAGGACAGACTAAGAAGAAGGACCTGGCAGTCTACTTCTGAAAAGAGATGGCCCATGAAAACCTAACGAATACCAGCAGAACACTATCTGATACAGTGCTAGAAGATGAGCCCTTCAGGTTGGATGACACTCAAAAGACGACTGGCGAAGAGCTGCCTCCTCAAACTAGAGTTGACCCTAATGATACGGACGGAGTCAAGCTTTCAGGACCTTCATTTGCTGATGTGGCACAACTCAAAATGAGAAGAAACAGCTACAAACATCCATTAATAATCAGGACATGGAATGTACCAAGAATAAATCTAGGAAAATTGGAAATCGCCGAAAATGAAATGGAACACATAAACATTGATATCCTAGGCATTAGTGAACTGAAATGGACTACTGGTATTGACCATTTTTAATTGGACGATCATATGATATACTATGCCGGGAATGACGACTTGAAGAGGAATGGCGTTGCATTCATCGTCAAAAAGAACATTTCAAGATTTATTCTGAAGTACAACAATATCAGTGATAGGCTAATATCCATACGCCTCAAAGGAAGACGAGTTACTATGACTATTATTCAAATTTATGCACCAACCACTAAGGCCACAGATGAAGAAATTGAAGATTTTTACCAACTTCTGCAGTCTGAAATTGACTGAACATGCAATCAGGATGCACTGATAATTACTGGTGATTGGAACGTGAAAGTTGGAAACAAAGAAGGATTGATAAGTTGGAAAATATGGCCTTAGTAACAGAAATGATGATGGAGATCGCATGACAGAATTCTGCAACACCGATGACTTCTTCATTGCAAATACCTTTTTTCAACAACATAAACGGCGACTATACATGTGGATCTCTCTAGAGGGAATACACAGGAATCAAATCAACTACATCTGTGGAAAGAGATGATGGAAAAGCTCAGTATCATCAGTCAGAACAAGGCCAGGGGCCGACTGCGGAAGAGACCATCAACTGCTCATATGCAAGTTTAAGTTGAAACTGAAGAAAATTAGAACTCCATGAGAGCCAAAGTGCGACCTTAAACATATCCTACCGGAATTTAGAGACCATCTCAAGAATAGATTTGACGTGTTGAACACTAATGACCGAAGACCACACAAGTTGTAGAATCACATCAAGGACATCATATATGAAGAAAGCAAGGTCATTAAAAAGACAGGAAAGAAAACATCAAAATGGATGTCAGCAGAGACTCTGAAACTTGATCCTGAACTCAGAGTAGCTAAAACAAAAGGAAGAAATGATGAAGTAAAAGTGATGAACAGAAGATTTCAAAGGGCGGCTTGAGAAGACAAAGTATTATAATCACATGTGCAAAGAGCTGGAGATAGACAACCAAAAGTGAAGAACATGCTGGGAATTTCTCAAGGTGAAAGAAGTGAAGTAAAATTCAAGCCACGAGTTGCAATAGTGAAGGATTCTATAGGGAAAGTATTAAATGACACAGGAAGCAACAAAGAAGATGGAAGGAATACACAGAGTCATTATACCAAAAAAAATTGGTTGATGGTCAACCATTTCAAGAGACAGCATATGATCAGGAACCAATGGTACTAAAGGAGGAAGTCCAAGCTGCACTGAAGGCATTGGCAAAAAACAAGGCTCCAGGAATTGATGGAATATCAATTGAGATGTTTCAACAAATGGATGCAGCACTGGAAGTGCTCACTCATCTATGCCAAGAAATCTGGAAGACAGCTCCCTGGCCAATCGACTGGAAGAGATCCATATTTACGCCTATTCCCAAGAAAGGTCATCCAACCGAATGTGGCAATTATCGAA